GGGCATAAAATTTAGACTCTGCCCAAATGTAGTGCACAACCTGGCGCACATATATGCATACACATACACACAAACAATACTCTATGTGTGTATACACATACATATCCATATATAGCATTGAAATAAGTAGTACCACTGCCTCTAATGAGCTCGGTGAGGAAATCTGGAAGCCTTAGCTTCTTTAGTGGTGGCTCTTAAGGCAGTGTTCTCAGCTTCAGGGTAAATCAACTAGAGGACTACAAGAATAGGCTGCAGTAAAACAAACTCAAAGATTTCAGCACAACTTGAGGGCATGATTCGGGTTCCTGAATTTAGGGGGAGCTCTTCCTTGGGGAGACACGTAACATCCCTCCCCCACCCCTTTAAGAAGGCCTGCTTGGATCTAATAGTTACTACACCACAGGAAGAATTGAAATCTCCATAGGTTCCTTCACCCAAGTTTTGTACTGTTTCCCTTTGTTTTCATGCAAACAGAGAAAGGGTCTTGACAAAGAGATGCTGTAGTCATTAAGAGTTATCTTCATCAACCAGTCCACAAAATCATTAAGTTGATGAGCTCCTTAACATTAACTGTACATCACATTTCTTAAGACTGGGAATGTGGGAGAGGAGCTAAATATGTGAGAAAGACTGCTTACTATATGCATAGAATTTCTAATTTAAAAAAACTCACTTCCTTAGACAGTGCTATGCAATGAAAATACAACCCAAGCCACCAACACAAGGCAAAGATGTAATTTTACATTTTCTAGTACCCACATTTCAAAAAGTAAAAATATATTGATCTTAAAATATATTTAACTCAATATATCCAAAATGTTATTTTAATATGCAATCAATCTGAAAAGAATTGAGGACTGGAGATGTAGATGAGTGCTTGCCTCAGACTGGGGACTGGAGGTGTAGCTCAGTGGGGAAGAACATGGGCATAGCATGAGCAAGGCCCTGTGTTCAATCCCCAGCACCAAAAAAGAAAAATAGCTTTGCATCTCTGTCTGTAGAGCTCCACTGCTCAATATAGTTGCCACATGTGGTTACTGAATATGTGAAGGGTGGCTAGTCTGAATTGAGATATAGAGACTAAGACGAGAAAAAGTGTAATTACTTCAGGATTTTTTCATTGCTGTTGCTGGGGATCAAGCCACTGCACCTAGCCCTTTAAATCCCAGTACCGCCAAAAGGATCTCAATAAATTGAAGTGTCAGCCAGGAGCTGGTGGTTCATACCTGTAATCCTAGCTACTTAGGAGGCAGAGATCAAGAGGATCATGATTCGAGGCCAGCCTGGGCAGATAGTTCATGAGACCCTATCTTGAAAATACCCAATACAAAACAGGGCTGGTGGAATTGCTAAGTGGTAGAGTACCTGCCTAGTAAGCATGAAACCCTAAGTGCAAACCCCAGTACTGCCAAAAATAATTGAGGTGTTGTAAATTTTTTGAAGGGTGAAAAATATAACTCTTAAAGAAACCTAACACAGAATACTGTGAATAAAATTTTGATTATAGTCACAGAATTGAGCTACTTAGCTTCAGAATCCAAACAGAATGATTTTTTTTGAGACTGATGATTTCTAAGTTTGATCAACTTGCTAAATGGTTTTCCAAATTTTTCTCTGACATTACAATATTTTCCTATAATTGTTCCTAAAAACCATGATGCTAAAAAGTAAATGAGTCAATAGAAAATAAAGGGAATAGAGGAACTAAGTTAATACCAACACAAGGAAATAATCATGATACATCCAGAATGTGGAACACAGTAAGACAATGGGCAGTGTGGTCACGCCTATAATCCTAACTACTTTGGAGGCTGAAACCAGGAGGATCATGGTTCAAGGCCAGTCTGGGCATATAGTTCACAAGACCCCATCTCCAAATAACCAGAGCAAAATGGATTGGAGGTGTGGCTTAAGTGGTAGAGTTCCTGCTTTGCAAGTGCCAAGCCAAGTTCAAACCCCAGTATCACCAAAGGCACAAAAAAAAAAAAAAGAAGAAGAAAGCTTAGACAGGCATGATAGCCAAAAGCAATAAGCAATGCATAAATCTTGACTGGATTCTAGGAGATTCTGGGAACAACTGGAAAAAATGTGAATATGAAATACTTATTTGATGAAGATCTTAGTGTTAACATTCCTGGATGGAACAGTATTGTACTTAGGTAGGAAAGAGTCTACACAGGTATTCATTATACTATTCAGCTTTTGTATGTTTGAACATTCTCATAAATGAATGGAAAGGAGAGGGAATTCTAGATGAAAAGAAAGACACAATCAAATGTGCTGTGTGAAACTTGATTAAATTCTAGTTCATGAAAGGCAGCTAAAGAGACATCTTTGGAATAACAGAAATCAGAAAGTGGACTTGGCATTACATGATGTTAAGGAATTGTTAATTCTCTTAGATGTGACAATAGTACTTTCATTATGTATGAAAATATCCTTGCCAGTTACCAGTAGCTCATGCCTGTAATCCTAGATTCTCAGGAGGCAGAGATCAGGAGGATTGCTGTTAGAAGCCAGCCTGGGCAAATAGTTGGCAAAACCCTCTCTAAAAAACCCTTCACAAAACAGGGCTGGTGGAGTGGCTCAAGGTGTAAGCCTTGAGTTCAAACCTCAGTACTGCAAAAGAAAAAAGAAAATATCCTTACTGAGAGATGCTTGCTTAAGTAGTTATGGATGAAGTGTCATAATGTCTACAACTTTCTTCGAATTAGTTTAGCAAAAAACAAAATTATACACAAAGGCTACTGGAGCTGGCAGAATGGCTCAAGTGGTAGAGCGTCTGTCTACCTAGCAAGCATGAAGCCATTCAAACCTCAGTACTATCAGGGGGAAAAAAAAGGTATACAACACAGCTTCTGCCTATCTTGCAAATATGGCAAAATGTTAACAATTAACTTGTTTTTGAGTAAGCATTCTATTCTTTCAGCTTTTTTGTACATTTAGAAACTCTCATAATAGGAAGTCTAAAACATGCTAAAGCTAAAAATAAAACGCACATGTCAACAAATTCCAGCAAACTGGGTAAAACCACAAATCAAAACTATCTAAACTTTTCCCCATGTAGACTCTCTTACTGAAAAAGGTCCAGCACAGAGGTAAGTAACATGCCTGTACTTCCATGTATTCTCTCTAGTGCCATGCAAGCATAATGGATGTTAAAATGGCCTTGTTTGAGACCTGCAGTGTGCTAAGTACAGGAAAAAAGAGATGAGTCCTATTTTCAAAGAGCTCAAAATACTGTGATTTAAAAATACTCTAAATTCTTATGTGCCAATCAAATTTTCCATATTAGTTTGCTTTCTGGAGTTTTATTTCTAGAGATAAAGTCTCAAATATGCCTAACAATGTTTGTCAACACTTAGAAAGCCAGAGATTCCTTTGATAAACTTAAATATTCACATAATACTAAGGCCTACCTTCCACTTACCATAACTAAAATAAAGGAAAGATTTACATTATATTACAAAAAACAAACATTTCTCAGTTGCTGGGTCCTTATTAAGTTTTTCTAAGAAATTAATTCCAAAGGAAAGCCTTAATAACATTTTTATTTTGGTAACTCTGAGTACTTAGCCAATGGTAATAACCACTCTTATGCTGGAGATGCCAAAGGAACTCATCAGCAGGTTCAATTGATGTCTTCTACATTTTAAAAATTTACCTGACAAGGGGCTGCAGGTACAAGGCCCTGAGTTCAAATTCCAGTGCCACAAAAAAAAATCTAATAGTATTAATATTTAGCGACTGTCACAACTGCCTACCTGGAACTGATAGTTGGAATGTAAAAAAAGCTCAACAGCTCAGCACTTTCATACTTTCCCACAAAGAGGGGAAATTTTACTTTTTATGTCACAAGTACATCCATCTACACTGAAGTAGGAAGAGTTCTATTTTAGTAATGGGAAAGCATTTGCATTTAATGTGTAAAGACAAAACAGGATTCCCCAGGGAAAGATAGCAGCAAAAACAATAGTAAAGAAAAAAAATCAACACATGAGAGACAAATAATTGACAAGGTTCATACGGGGCTGACTGTCACTGAAAAAAGTATATTCTTTACTTTCAACTATTTGTCATAAGAGTACATTCTGAGAATAAAGATAAAATTAAGTTCTGTATTAAAAGTGTAAGATAATGACATTTCACAGTATCTCTGAGGGGAAGGGGCATGCTAGGCTGGCTGTAGAGTGTTATTCAAAGGTGCATATTTGTTTATTTTTTGTCAAATGGCATAAACAACCCTCCTTTGCAAATACTGTATTTTTTTATCACCTGGCCTGGTAACTAAAGCTGAGGAACTGTTTAATACAAAGGGTATCAAGCAAGCTTTGTGTGCTTTCGAGAAAGAAGAAAAGATGTAAGAGGAAAATAGAGCCCCAGAGGTAACCATGTGATTAGAAACCAATTAAGTTAAGCAATTACTGAAACTGCTCTCTCCTTTGGGCAAGAATGGATCACAAGTGAGACTATGATATAAAACAAAACTGCTTATATGCAAAAAGACCAAAGCTGTTCTGGAGAAAGACTATTTTGGAGAGAGAACTATTTACCTGGTAAAACGTACACAGGCATGTTTGATGAATGTACACAGAGGATTTATATTCTACTTGTTTTAAAATGCCAAGATGATGTTTTTAGACATAGAACATGTATCATGGTTAAATTTACTTAGTATTCATGTTGAAATGGGGATGGGGACAGAATTAGGAACGAACAGGGAAGAAAATCATTACTATGGCCTATTGGTTTTCAAGAGCTATTTTATGTAACCTTACATTTCAGAAGAATAAGAAACTGTATTAACGTATATCATGCAGAACTGTAAAACTCAATGCCAATTCCAGTATGTATTACTTAAAAGAGCTAGCCTGACCCAGTTCAGATTTAATTACTTTGTAAAAAGAGAAAAAAGCTAAAACAAATTTGAAATAGTTTACATCAAATAATTATGATTCAACTTTAAGAGTACCTTTAAAGGACTAGTGGAGTGGCTCAAGTGGTAGAGCTCCTGCAAACATGAGGCCCTGAGTTCAAACACAGTACCACCAAAAAAATAAACATTAAAAAAGAGTACTTTAAAAATGAAACTATTCTACTACCTACCTGGTTCATCTTTCACCCACAAAATGCATTTTTAAAATAAAACCTAAAAGCACAAGCTACAATAAAATTAGACTTTTTACATATAAACTATTCTTCTAAACTACTCTTTCATTTTTCGACTCCTGACCAAGTCTGGAAATCTTATCTATGCACACATACTGCCTGTCTATTGCTTTCAAATGCACCAACCTTTTCAAAAACACTGGATGGGGTCATCAAACAAAACCTGATGTTCTGAATGATGGTATCTGTATGTCTCCAGCGTCTTCTATCATGCCGCAGCCAAGACTGCACAGCCTCGTACAGCTCTATCTCTGGGAACCTGCTCAGATGATCATTATCCAAATAAGACATGAGTTTCTCAAAGCTTAGATAGGACAGGAAATCAGGCCTGGACATAAGTGGCACAAAGTTGTCTAGCAGAAAGGTGTCCAGCTTCTCCCTGACTCCCTCGATGTTTACACCGAAATCATCTAAGAGTCTCATAATTTCTGCACAATTTTCTAGGCAGATTTTTGCTAATAGGAAAGAACAGCAGAACTTCACCACTTCTATAAGTTGAACATACATGGCAGCCTGAAGAATCTCATGAACAGTATTCATACTCAGTTCTATAGTTCCATAGTACATAAACTGAAGAACATGGCTAAAACCAGTAGCTGTTAGACCTTTCAAGTGAATTTTGTCCTGATCTCGTTCCCTCATGTCTGCAGTAAACATAATTCTGAAGTAATCACTCTGGGTGGCCAAGAGTGCTTTATGGGCTTGGAACTGATGATCTTCAATCACCAGAGTGACATCAAGAAGCAATCCCTCCTCATACAGTGCTCTGAACCCAGCAGAGACACTGGTGTCATGGATGGAGGAACAGAATCCTTCCACGTCCCCTGCCATGAATCACCTGGAAAAAGAGTAATCAAAGAAAAATGGTGTTAATCATTCCCATGCATTCAGAAAACACTGTTAACTTAAGAGTTTTTAAATTTTTTGTAATTATCTTAACTCTACTGCCTAAGTCCTAAAAGGAAACCTAAAGGTTTTCATTCTTCTTCTTCTTCTTTTTTTTTTTAATAGTACTGGAGTTTGAACTCAAAGTTTTGTGCTTTTTGGCAGACACTTTACCACTCGAGCCACTCTGCCAGCCCAGGGTTTTCAGACTACAGTGTTTTTTGCTTTCTACCTGGGGAACACCATCTATTAAAGATGTATTTATCAAACAATGGTAGATTGTTAACTTACAAACAATATAGATGTTACACTGTTCATGAAACATACTTTTAAAAATTCCAAAATTAGCAACACAGAAAAGATTTCACAACCAAATACTAAACTTAAGAAAAAGACAAGAAGAAAGAGCTGGTGTCAGTGGTTCATGCTTATAATCCCAGCAACTTGAGAGGCTGGGATCAGGAGGTCAAGGTTTGAGGCCAGCGTGGGCAAACAGTTCTTGAGACCCCCATCTCCAAAATAACCAGAGCAAAATAGACTGGAGATGTGGTTTGAGCAGTAGAGCACCTGCTTTGCAAGTGAGAAGCCATGAGTTCAAACCCCAGTCCCATTAAAAAAAAAAAACACACATCAAAAAAAATACACTTAAAAACTGCTAGAAATTTGCCAAAAGGAAATAATCAGATAAATATGCCAAGTCATACATCCAAGATTTTTCTTTCTAGTTTTATAATAAATAAAATTAGAAAGTATCCAGGCACAATGGCAAGCATCCATAGTCCCAGCTACTTGGGAGACAAAAAAAAAAAAAAAAAAAAGGACTGAAGGTATGGCTCTAATAGTAGAGTGCCTGCTTTGTAAACCTGAAGCCCTGAGTTCAAATCCCAGTCCTGCCAAAAAAATAAAAAGGAAAGTATTCAAAAGTCCAACAACAAAGGAGGGAGGACAAAGAAGAATAATGGAGGGGGTGAATTCAACTATGATATTTTGTAAGAACTTTGGTAAATGTCACAATGTACCCCCAGTACCATAATTTTAAAAAGATATAATAAAAAATACAAAAATCCTCTTAAAAAAAAAAAAGCCCAATTACAGGAGGTATAGTTCAGACAGTAGAGTGTTTTGTTTAGGAAGCATGAAGCCTTGAGTTCAAACCCTAGATTCCACCAAAAAAAAATAGTAATAAATTGAAAAAAAAAAGCCTTTGGAAAATTCAGCAACAATTCTATAACAATTAAGAATG